CGCTCCGGCGCCTTGTGGATGTTCTGCAAGACCGGAGGCAGGAGGACAGAGCCCCGCTGCAGTCTATCTGTAACAGCCCTCACCCGCCACCAAGTCCCACACCACCCTCACCCAAACTCCAAAGAAGGAGGGGCGGCAAGGGCCGTTAAAACTTTCAGTCAACCCCTGCAGACTGCTCTAGCACTAGAAGGCTGACATTCCCCAAAATTTCATAAGTCCTTTCCCACCCACCTCACAGAAGCCCCCGTCCAAGTTTCACACCCCACGTTTCATGTCTGGTTCGCAATAAAATGTTTGTTTCTCTCCATTACTGTTTCAGTCAGGTTCTTCTGAGGGAGAGTCTGTCTGGAGGGGGGGAAGGGGCTTGGTAATTGGACAGGACAGTGACCTTTAGCAGGGTACAGAGGCGGTGTCAGGTCCAGCATCAGGACACATACACAGTGCAGTCACTGGTTACCCTGGTCAGTCTGGGAGGTGTTTTTCATGTTCTCCATTGAAATAACCAGTCCACCAGTGCGGAGCCTGTCATTCCGGGAGTTTAGAAGCATCATTTGCATCAGAACACTGAACCCGCCCCCCGCCACAGTCTGCGTCCCCGGTTTAAAATATTCCCGCGAAAACAGCAATACAGACAACGGTGTTCATTAACAAAATCGAAATGATTTTATTTTTTGGGAAGGGGAAGGGGGTGAAGGGGGTATGTAACTGGAGAGGATAGTCAAAATGAACTGGGTAAAGAAACGGGGGCAGGTTCAGCTTTTCTGTACACAAACTGAAAAGTCACTGGTTGCCCTGCTCACTCAGGAACCTAGCTTTCAAAGCCTCCCGGATGCACAGGGCGTCCCGCTGGGATCTTCTAATGGCCCGGCTGTCTGGCTGGACGTAATCAGCAGCCAGGCTATTTGCCTCAACCTCCCACCCCGCCATAAAGGTCTCCCCCTTGCTCTCACACAGATTGTGGAGCACACAGCAAGCTGCAATAACGATGGGGATATTGGTTTCGCTGAGATCACAGCGAGTCAGTAAGCTTCTCCATCTCCCTTTGAGACGGCCAAAAGCACACTCCACCACCATTCTGCACTTGCTCAGCCGGTAGTTGAAGAGTTCTTTTTCTGTGTCCAGGGCGCCAGTATAGGGCTTCATGAGCCAGGGCATTAGCGGGTAGGCTGGGTCCCCGAGGATGACTGTAGGCATCTCCACATCCCCAAGAGTTATTTTGTGGTCTGGGAAGTAAATACCTTCCTGCAGCCGTCTAAACAGACCAGAGTTCCTGAACACGCGAGCGTCATGAACCTTGCCCGGCCATCCGACGTAGATGTTTGTAAACCGTCCCCGATGGTCCACCAGTGCTTGCAGCACCATTGAAAAGTAGCCCTTTCTATTGATGTACTGGCTGGCCTGGTGGTCCGGTCCCAGGATAGGGATGTGAGTCCCATCGATAGCCCCACCGCAGTTTGGGAATCCCATCGCGGCAAAGCCATCTATGATGACCTGCGCGTTTCCCAGGGTCACTACCTTTGGGAGCAGTACCTTCACAATTGCCTTGGCTACTTGCATGACAACAACCCCCACGGTAGATTTGCCCACACCAAAGTGGTTCGCGACTGACCGGTAGCTGTCCGGCGTTGCAAGCTTCCAGAGGGCTATGGCCACTCGCTTCTGGACAGTCAGGGCTGCTCGCATCCGGGTGTCCTTGCGCTTCAGGGCAGGGGACAGCAACTCACAAAGTTCGAGGAAAAACATGCGAAAGTTTCGCAGCCACTGGGATTCATCCCAGACCTGAAGCACTATACGGTCCCACCAGTCCGTGCTTGTTTCCCGGGCCCAGAATCGCCGTTCAACAAAATCCACATGCCCCATTGCCACCGTGATGTCCTGGGCGCTGGGGCTCGTGGTTTCTGACAGCTCTGTGCCACTCTCCGACTTCAGGCTCTCACGGCAGTGCCGTAGCCTCCTCGCCCGATTTCTCTGCATCTGCCTCAGGGAAAGGTGTATGATAAGCTGCGAGGTGTTGAGAACGGCCACAAGTGCAGCGATGGTCGCAGCGTGATCCATGATCGCAGTGCTGTGGCGTCCGCGCTGTCACTGACCAGAAAAGTGCGCGAACTGATTTCCCGCCGGCGCTTTCATGGAGGGAGGGAGGACTTTAGTGACGGACGGATGACGACAAATTTTTTTTACCCAGAAGGCATTGGCGGCTCGACCCAGAATTCCGATGGGCAGCGGGGACTGCGGGAACTGTGGGATAGCTGCCCACAGTGCACCGCTTTCAATATCGACGCTCGCCCCGGTAGTGTGGACTCACAAAGTCGAATTACTGTCCTTAGTGTGTCCTTAGTGTGGACACACACGTTCGACTTTGCAATATCGATTCCACATATTCGATTTAAGTAAAATCGAATTACCCTCGTAGTGTAGACATACCCTGAGTCTCTCACATCCCCAGCAAGTGCCCCAACCACTGGGCTAAAGGTTATAAGAGGAAACACTCACCCACCCACACAAAAGGTGACCAGACTTTTCTAGTTCACTTCCAAAAATGTTCAGAATTTTTCAGCAAACTTCTTATTTGTTCTGATTTTTCCGTTTGCTGGATGAACTGAAAAAAATCAATGATTCACCCCTTGCTCTAGTCAACTTTAACGTATGCATTAAAATATAATGTTACCCCACTACAATGTCAAGAGAAGGTACCATGCAGAAAAATTCTTTCCTGACCATGATCTCCATAACTTGCATGGCCCAAACTATACAAAGTTCTCACATAAAGGCGTCTGTAGAGGAAAGGGAGATGACGACATTGAGGAGCTGAGGGATGCAATGTCCAGCTCTGACAAGCTGCTGCGCTAAAAATAGAGCATAGCCGCAGTAGCACAAGTGGCAGGAGGGCCTAGCTGGCCCGTGTATGTACCAAGCCTCTCTGACTTGGGGAGGCTAGCCCCTTTTGCCACTTGTGCTGCCACACCTACACTCTATTCTTAGTGCACCAGCTCGATGAGAGCTAGTGTGGGTATGTCTCCTTGAGCTGGGAATCACACCCCCAGCTTGAAGTCTAGACACACTCATAGGTACAACCCTCCTCTGTCCAGCAGCTTTTGGGACATTTGAGAGATATTCTGCTCATTTCACCCTCTCAACGGCTAGTTTTACAGGTGGCTGTTTGGCCCATAATTCTTGTGCATATGGTACATGTTAGCAGTTGTGTTTACCCGCATTTCTAATAAAGCCAAAGCCAACATAGTTCCTTTTTCTTTGCACACCAGCCTCACAGGTGTCAGCAACAATGCATTCAACTCTGTTTCTTAACTTACTTTTTTAAAGTCAAATGAAGCTAAAAATAATTAGATGATGATATAGCTTAGTGACTTTCTGATGGAGCTGCAGATGTGATAGAAAAATTAGGATCCAGTGGATAATCCCTACATACTATCCCATTTAACAGATTAGACAAAATTTGGGCCAAACATCTTGACATCATGTCTCAAACTAGGAAACTTCAGGATGTAGAAACTTTATTCAAAGCCATCTCCTTACCACCAAGACAGAGGAGGATGCAGAGACATGTAGTGAGGAATAAAGTTGTCTAGATCTCTATTGCCTGTTTCAAAGCAATCATCTTTCATGTGCAATTTTTTTTATGCTTTGCATATTAGACACAGACAGATCATTAGAATGTCTCATTGTCACTGCCAATGACTCACCAAGTGCAATGGTAAGTGATTCCATTTATCAGACACATGATCTCAATCTCAAAACCCTGTATTTACAGATGGATCTGAATTCTAGAGTTCAGCTCAGGCGCATTTCTTGGAACAAGGGGTGTTTTCCATACGACAGAGCACTATTCATAAATTTATGCTTAATCCCTAAAACCTGGATATGTGTTTTACACAAGTAATATGAAATTTTAACCTCCCTTTTAACAAAGTTCAGTTGTCATAGTTATTTGATTCATTCATCTCCACTTGTTTTGGCCAGAAAAAGCCTTTCTGCAGAGCTAAACTCTCAGAAAAAAATATCTACACATTAGGATATTTCAGATAGAACAAAAAATCCTTTAATTTCATTCCACTACTGCAGCCAAACTGCTGGATGCACTTTAAAATGGTAAAGAAAACTATGAGACTGCATACTGGCTGACACGCTGTTGATTTTAAACATATTTTAAAGCAAGTAGGATTATAATCAGAATTATGACCACAGCCCATTATGCTTGAAATATCAGGTGCCAAATTTAACTCACTCAAGAATTTACCACACGTTCCAATGGCACCAGATTACTCAGCGAGAAGGATGAAGTGATATAAATAATGCTTACTTCCAGTTTTTAAAATCTGCTAAGGCTGGCAGGCCACAATGCATTCACACTTCTTGGGTTTACAAACATAAACAAGAACATGAAAGTAATATTTACCAGTTTCACTTTATTGCTTGAATACAGTAATGCAGCAAGGGATTGGACAGCAAGAAGTGCTATTGTGCGTACACATATGCCTGTGACTTTGCAGAAAAACCTGAGCACTAAATTGCTGCTGTACATTCACAACAATTAAGGCAAGTGAAAGACTTAATCTATTCCTGAGAATACTGTTAGAAAAAATTATAGCAATGCAAATTAGAGTTGAGGTTTCACGGCTACTCTTTCAGGGCCTGATTCATAATCATGTAAATTAGGAATAACTCAATTTAAGTCAAAGGAGTTACAGTGGGCATAATAAGTAAAGGAGCATCAGGTCCTCAATGATAAATGTGTACAAAATGGCAGACATATAAATGGAATAGAATGAGAAGAAAAACATTTTTCTCGGTAGTTACTGCTGAATGGTAAATTTAAGATGGGACATCAAAAAGTAGATGCTGTCAAGCTCTCTTATGAAATCAGCATTACTCTGAAAAGGAGTGTTTTTCTCAACAACAAAGTCATTTTTTTCCTTGTTCATGATAACTTTGTAAGTGCATCTTTTCCATTGAAAGATTGTATATAAATACTTGAGACTTACCGGTTACCTGTTTTCTTAACTTTTCAATTTCTTCTTTTAAGCTTTTAATTTCTAGATCTTTGCTTGCTGTTATTGGACCATCCACAGTTGAATACTGTAAAGCCTGGACTGTCTGGGTGGATTCTAAAAACAAAGAAGAGCGCCATGAGATAAGCCTTCCACACTCCCCCAATATATTCTTTAAGATGTCAGAAGAAAGTGACACTATTAATAAGTGGAGAAGTGCACAAAATTGTCTCTATACCAATGGTAGGAGACTGGAAAAAAACAGGAGGAATTGAAAATTCAACTGACAAGAAGAAATTTGATACATTTGACCTTACTGATTCCAGCTGCTTTAACTGGAATGTTAAAAGCATTGATTATAACCTGTTCAGGAAAGATAGCACAGGTGGGGGGGGAGTGACACTGTACACTAAGGGCACAATTACAAGTAATTGGTAACTCAGAAGCACATGATCTTTAATGCATATGGATCAAGGTGTTAACCAGCAGACCATCAAATCAAACTAGAGATCAGGATGAGTTACTCTGAAAACACCTGTCTGTAATGTGTGTGTGGGGGGAAATTGTGTTGTTACAAGGCACTTCAATTTGGTAAATGCATGCTGGAGGTCTAATGCAGCCAGTAGTAAAACATCATTAGAGTTTCTAAAAATTATAGATGATAATTTTCTGACACAAAAAATATTACATCCAACATGAGGGAAGGACATCATTATGATGGATAAAGATGAATTAATCACTGGACCAAAAGTTGGTGGTTGCCTAGGGACCAGTGATTATGAACTGATTACATTCAATGTGGGCAAAAAGAAGACAGTTCCAACCAGTAATATATACACTTGGTGCTTCAAAAGGGGTAATTCCTCAAAGCTCAAGAAAATTATGAGTGAAACTGATTGAGAGGAAAAGCTTAGACAAAAAATGTGAAAGAAAATTGGGAGATTTTTGAAGCAGAGTTTATTAGATGGCTAAAAGCCATGATTCCACAATCAAACATCTTCAACTAAAAGCCCATCCTGGTTGGTGGGTGAGGGAAGACAGAAATTATAAATAAAAAAAACAATGTCTACTAAATTGAAAAAGGGGGAATAGATAACAATTGATATAAATTAGAAGTTATGATGTTCAGAAAATTGACAAGGAAAGTTAACAACATCAGGGAAAAATCCATAGATAGCAGGGCTAAGGACAAAAAGGTTTTTAAAAGTATACTAGGAACAAAAGAGATGGTAAAATGTTAATCATGAAGAAAAGGCAGAAGTGTTCAATTAATATTTTTGTTCTGTATTGGAAAGAAACAGGATGGTGTGGTTGTATCACATGGGGATGATGAAGTACTATCCAGTCCATTAGTAACAGAAGTTACACAATATCTAATAGGGTGCAACAGAGTGAACTGTCACATGGGGGGAGGGAAGGAAAATAAAAACAAAATACCCAAGCAGCTGACTCCAATTAGTAGTCCTCTCAAAGACTGCTGGGAGTGGAAGGGGTATGGGTCTGTATAAGTGAGAACCAGCTCATCCTAAGGAGGAGAGAGAAGGATGAGGCAGTGCTCTGGAAGACTGGAGCTGTATCTAGGAGTGTCTAAGGAAAAAAATCAGGGGCAGGAGATGGAACAAACACCTGCTGAACAAAAGCTACCGGGGTTTGGGGAGAGTTGGGCACAGGCTGGGGCCTGCCTCCACAGAAAACTATGGACTTACCGTGCAGGTAAAAAAACTGTGGAGAAATGGAACCAAGTATTTTGGGTGCAGGTGATGATGATGATAATTAATTAGACACCCTTTTGTATCTATCACTGCATACTATCTAGCTCTTTATGGGGGGGGCGAGGAGCGTCCTGTTTTGTGGTGGTCAGGTCATCCTGGCTCAGAAAACCTGGATAAACTTGCATTCAAGAATCCTAAAAGAGTTGTCTGAGGAGATCTCTGGCCCTCTGATGTTAATTATGAATAATGCTTAGACGATCATGAAAATTCCAGAAGACTATAAGAGTGCTAATGTTGTGCCATTATTCAAAAGGGCGAGCGGGATGACGTGGGAAACTAGAGGTCCATTAACCTGACATAAATCTGGGCCAAAATAATGGAAAAGCTGATTTGGAAATCAATTGATAAAGAATTAAAGGGTAGGAATATAATGAATGCCAATCAAAATGGTTTTATGGAAAATAGGTCTTGTCAAACAAACCTGATTACATTATTTGAGGACATTACAAGTTTGGCTGATAAAGGCAACTGTATAGGTGTAATATATTAAGACTTCGGTAAGGCATTTGACTTAATATCACACAACATTCTGATTAATAAATTAGTGCTATACAATATCAATAAAGCACATTCAATGAATTAAGAACTGGCTAGCTAACAGATCTCAAAAAGTAGTTAATGGGGAAATCACTGAATGATGTTGTTTCTAATGGGACTCCACAGGGATTAGTACTAATCTTGCTACTATTCACATTTTTCATCACTGATCTGGAAGTAACTATAAAATCATTGCTGATACAACTTGCCAAACCGGGATGAATTTGGGCCCATTCAAGTAAAATGTGTTTTAATACAGTCAAATGCAAAGTGATACATCTAGGAATAAAAGAATGCGGATCATATCTAGGAAACTATATCCTGGAAAGCAGTGATGCCAAAAAGGATTTAGAAGTCATAGTGGACAAGCAACTGAACATGAACTCTCAGGGTGATGGTGTGGCAAAAGGGGCTAATAAAGTCATTTGATGTATAAAAAGGTTAGTTCGTCTCTGTATATGGCATTGGTGAGATCGATATTGGTGTTCAATTTTTAAAAAAAGATATTGAAAACACTGGAGAGGGTGCAGAAAAGAGCCACAAAAATTACGGCTGGAGAAAATGCCTTACAGCAGGGGTTTTCAAACTGTGGGTCGGGACCCCCAAGTGGGTCGGGACCCCATTTTAATGGGGTCGCCAAGGCTGGTGTTAGACTTTCTGGGGCCCAGGGCCAAAGCCCAAGCCCCACTTCCCGGGGCTGAAGCCGAAGCCCTAGTCCTACCACCCAGGGCGAAGGTTACATGCCCCCTTCCTCCCCCGCCCAGGGCAGAAGCCCTTGGGCTTCAGTTTTGGGGCCCCTACCCCCACCCGGGGTGGCAGAGCTCAGGCACGGGGCTTGGGCAGGCTTGATCTTTGGTCCCCTCTCCTGGGGTCGTGTAGTAATTTTTGTTGTCAGAAGGGGGTCATGGTACAATGAAGTTTGGAGAACTGCTGCTTTACAGTGAAAGACTTAAAAAGATCAATCATTTTAGTTTATCAGAAAGGAGATTAAGAGGTGACTTGAGTACAGTATATAAATATATTCATGGGGAGAAAATACAAGGTACTAAAGGGCTCTTTAATATAGCAAAGAAAGGCATCACAAGAACCAATGGCTGGAAACTGAAGTCAGACAAATTCAAATGAGAAATTAAGCACAAATTTCAACAGAGAGAGTGATTAACCACTGGAACAAACTACTCAGGGAAGTGGTAGATTCTCCATCTCTTGATGTCTTCAAATCAAGATTGGATGCCTTTCTGGAAAATATGTGTTAGTCAAACATAAGTTATGCTTTAGTCAAAGACAAGTTGTTAGATTCAATAAAGGGGTAACTGGATGAAAATCAATGGCCTGTCAGACTAGATGATCTAATGGTCCCTTCTGGCTATAAACTCTATGGATATATGAAAAGAGTGTCTGCTGAGGTATATTAAACAAACACATTGGTTAAACTTTCAAACACTGGTGCCTAAATTGTGGTTACAATAATGTGTGTGTGCTCACAAAAGCAGGAAAAGAGAACAAAATAAAGAAACAAGGGATGCGTCAGAAAATCCGAACAATCCATACATTTGAATGCCTCTAAAGAAGAAAGAACAACATACTGTACCTTACACTTAAAGATAAGCCTTGTTTTGTGGGGTTGTACACTAATTTCTGTATTATACTGTAGCTTTCCCTGCCTCTCTGAAAACGGACTAGGGCTCAATGCTGTAAAGACCTACACATGTGAATATCCCCACTGGCATCAATGGAATTACTTGCATACATAAAGTTAAGAACATGAAAATGTTTTTGTAGGATGGGGACTTTAAATCATACAATTTCCACTTGCAAAGTGCCAACACATCTTCAGTAGGTGCCAAATACACAAATCTAGATCCCGCCCCCTTCCTTCTCCCCCGCAGATAATAAGTATGTAGTGTTCACAGCTGGAGTAATAACCAACCCCTGGCTTCAGCGAATTCAACAGATTGTAAGTGGAATATATGGGATGCTTTAGGACTTAAAAAAAAAATTAAGTGTAATTTGGCAAGAGAAATAATGAAGCGGATTAATTTCCAAAGGGAAGCATTCCTGGAAACATATTTTAATTTTTTTTCCATAATATTAAAAGCACTTCACAAAAACTACAGCCTAATCCAGGGGTCAGCAACCTTTCAGAAGTGGTATGCCGAGTCTACATTTATTCACTCTAATTTAAGGTTTCGCTTGCCAGTAATACATTTTAACGTTTTTAGAAGGTCTCTTTCAATAAGTCTATAATATATAACTAAACTATTGTTATATGTAAAGTAAATAAGGTTTTTAAAATGTTTAAGAAGCTTCATTTAAAATTACATTAAAATGCAGAGCTCCCGGGACCAGTGTCCAGGACTCGGGCAGTGTGAGTGCCACTGAAAATTGGCACACGTGCCACAGGTTGCCTACCTCGGCCTAATCCAACTGAAAGTGACAAAACAGTCTTTAATTGCTTTACCTTGCAGTTTTCTACTGAGTTCAAGTTTTTCCTGCTCCAGGCGCCTTATTCTCCTCTCATAAGCTTCTGTTGCTAAGCTATCCTCCAAAGTCCTTTGAACACTGGCATCAAGGTCCATAGACAGTGGTCCAGCTGTAACTCTTAGACAACTGCGGTCTGAAAGCACACTGAAAAAAAGGATTTAAATGTAAGGTAATTTTAGAAAAAAAAATTAAAATTAAAGCAGTTGACCAGACCAGTAAATTATTGTTTTAAATTTTTCCATCACAGTAAAAAAAATAAACTTTTTAACGACTGTAGCAACTTAATTAGGGAAACCAACATTAGTTATCTTGTGAATGCATTTTTTAATGCCACAAGTAAAAAAGTTCTGATTAATGATAAGCAAAAAGGATAGTCTGGAATCAGCCAATTAACAAAAAGTCACCTTCTGAATGGTCAACAATATCAAGATCTAAAATTATATTAACATATCAGCTCATATTAATTACTAATATGTTTGCCAAGTACTTTGAAGATCCACAATATCAATTTTAAGTATTATTATTAGATGGAAATTAGTGTAATTTGGTTGTCTCCTCTGTAATTAATTTCTCCCAGAAGTCAGTGGAACGTCTCATGTGAGTAACATTAAGCACACATGTTTGCCAGAATCAGGGCGTTGGCTCTTTGGTACATTAGTATTTATTGTACCTCTAGGTAAATGCTGACCAAAGTTAAACTTAAAATTTGCATCAGTTGTCACATTCATCTCAACAGTAGCTAATGTCCGTTCACTTTTCACTAGTAGTGTCTAAGACCCTACTCTCTTCTTGTTCAGTTTCCTCCAAAAGGCTCGCTGCTTCTAGGAAAACTATAAACTCTAGCCAAAATAGTTAAACAACTTCTCGATTCCATTAATATTTAAGGGCCATGAAAGGACAGGAAAGAAAATAATTTAAAAAACAGTTAAAGCTGATACCTTCTCTGAGTCTCCCAGTGCATCTTATCTCTGTCTCTCTTTTAGGGTGAAATTCACATGTTGGCCAGAAGCTAGAATAAGATTTTAAAATAGGCCTTATGCTGGCTCTCTGCACAGGAGTAAATTGCACCCATAAGGTATGTCTACACTGCATGCTTCTTTCAGCAGCATGTAGAATACATACGTACTCAGCCCTCCTAGCACGGGTATAAACAGCAGTGTAGCCAGTGAGGCATAGTTTAGGCAAGCAGATTAAAGACACACCTGAAGGGTGTGAGTATGTATGCCCTATGCCAGTGCTTAATTTGTAATAAAAGAGGTGCTGGGACTCAAGCAGTATTTTTACTTTCATAACTGATGGACCAAGCCCAGAGGTGCCAGGGCTATGAACCACCAAGCCTAGAGGTGCCCGGGATCAGCCCTGACAAGCCCTGGCACAAATCAAGCATTGCCCTATGTGCTCTATATTCACCCAAGCTGTCTCCCCCATCTACACTGCTATTTTTAGCAATGTAGCATTCTGCTACCTCACCGCTGCTAGAGTCTTTCCCCACCACAGGAAAAGACTCCCCCCAGCAGAGAGAGGCTCTGCCAGCTCCCTGCTGCTGGAGCTCATCCTTGATGCAGGGAAAGACTCTGGCAATGGGGAAAGACTGAGCCTTTCCCTGTGCCTCCCCCCTGCCAGACTCTTTCCTTGCCACAGTGAAAGGCTCCAGCAGCAGTGAGCTGTTGAAGCCTTTCCCCAGCACTTCCCCTCTGCCAGAGCCTTTCACTGTCTGCATAGCTACACACGGCAGTGTCGACACAGCCTGCTTTTCACTACAGCATGTAGCTACTGGTACACTACATGTCACCACCAGTGGTGTGTAGTGAAGTCTGCACTACAGTGGCATTGCTGCAGTTCACCACTCGTAGTGTAGACGTTTGCTACAGTGACAGAAGAGGTTTTTACATTGCTGCTCCTAAATCCACCTCCTCGAGAGGAGGTAGCTAGATCAATAGAAGAATTCTCCCATTGACCTAGCAATATCTATACCGGGGCAGAGGTTGGCTTAATTACATCTCAGGGGCATGGATATTTCATACCTCTGAGCAATGTAGCTAAGTCAAGCTAAGTTTTAGGTGTAGACCAGGCCTTAAGAGAATTGGCTCCTCGGGGCAGGGTCTGATTTTAGATGTGTTCTATACAACTACTGAGCATACAATAATCTGCTTAATAAAACCATTTTCCTCAACAGCCAAGTGCAGTTGTTTCTTCACTCTCTTTATTTTATAGGTTTATATAAACTTGTGGCACACAACAGATCAGAAGTTTAGCACATTCATGTATCCACCATACTTTGACAATTGAAGAACTCTGACTTACCAGCTACTTGTATATGTAAAACCCACAAATGGCAGATGATGACCAGAAAATGCAGTGTGAGTTGGTGGAGGCATTGTCTCCTAGGAGATAAAAGAAGATCTGAGTAAGCTGAATTCTACCAATTTGGAAAAACATTACTGCACAGTAATGAGTCATCAAATGTTAGTGCTGCTGTTTCACTAACCAGATCCACAATGATCTTTATTTGAAGATTAAATATGAAACAGCAAAATCTAAATCTGGCTTTGAATTCAAAAAGATACAAACAGTTCACAGGAAGAGGACTTTTTATTCAAATGTGGTATCATTAAAGGTTATTATGGAAATTAAAAGCTGGTTCATTATTTTCTTTCTCCCCAAGGATTCTTGAAGATGCTGTCAGAGCACAGAAAGGACAGTTACCTGTTCCGTAACTGGCGTTCTTTGAGAGGTGTTGTTCCTGTGTATTCCACAGTAGGTGTGCGTGCTCGCCACGTGCACCGGTGCTGGAATATTTTCCCTTAGCAGTACCCGTACTAGGGGAGCACCGCGGCGACCCCTGGAGTGGCGCCTGCATATCGCGCTATAAGGGGAGCCATGGGCTCCCCCCACCCTCGGTTCCTTCTTGCCGGACAACTCCAACAGAGGGAAAGGAGGGCGGGGTGTGGAATAGACAGGAGCAACACATCTCGAAGAACGCCAGTTACGGAACAGGTAACTGTCCTTTCTTCTTCGAGTGATTGCTCCTGTGTATTCACAGTAGGTGATTCCAAGCAGTATCTGTTGGAGGTGGGTAGGAGTTCATGATGGTTCGGGACGAAGTACTGCCCTGCCGAACCCGGCGTCATCCCTAGACTGGGCGACGATTGCGTAATGCGAAGTAAACGTGTGAACTGAAGCCCACGTGGCCGCCCTACAGATGTCCTGAATGGGGACATGGGCAGCATAGGCAGCTGATGAGGCCTGAGCCCTCGTACAGTGGGCCTTAATGACAGGAGGCGGGGGAATCCCTGCCAGGTCATAACACGTGCGTATGCACGAGGTAATGGGTAGAGACAGGTTGCCCTCTCGCCCGAGGCAATAAAGAGTTGAGAGGATCTCCGGAACAGCTTAGTTCTATCCAGGTAAAAGGCCAACGCCCTACGCACATTGAGCATGTGGAGGCGACATTCCTTGCTAGAGGAATGCGGCTTAGGGCAGAGCACGGGAAGAAAGATGCTCTGCTCCATGTGGAAGGTGGAAACCACCTTCGGGAGGAACGTCGGGTGTGGGCAAAGCTGGACCTTATCCCTATGGAAAACAGTATAGGGGATTGGCAGTGGCCCTGGAGGTTTTTTGCCTTCCTCCGCAGCATAGGGCAGGGGTCGCAAGCTGGAAGATTCTCTGCAACTTGAAGTCTTTAGATCACGATCTGGAGACTTCAACAGCAGAGTTAAGGGAAAGTGGGGGGGTCAGCTTTTGTGGCCTGCATCATGCGGGAGGTCAGACTAGATGACCATATTGGTCTCTTCTGACCTTAAAGTCTATGAGTCTATGAGTTCTGAGGTTAAGGCCCTGAGCTCCGAGACACGTCGGGCAGACGTGATCGCCACGAGGAAGGCCATGTTCCATGAGAGGTGCGATCAGGAACACGTGGCCAGTGGTTCGAAGGGGGGGGCCGTGAGACGTGACAAGACCAGGTTGAGGTCCCATTGTGGCATGGGGGGCCTAGCGTATGGGAACAAATGGTCGAGGCCCTTCAGGAAGCAGGAGGTCAGAGGGTGGGAGAAGACCGAGTGTCCCTGCACCGGCGGGTGAAAAGCTGATATGGCTGCGAGGTGCACCCAGACCATGGGTCTGGCCGGTGTTGACGGTGGCCAGGAGTCCCCCGATGAGCGGTCGCTGCACGTCGAGCGGTGCAGGGAGCAATCCCTGGAGCGGGAGCTGCGGCTCGCCTAAGAGGTCTGACGGGCACCTAACAGGGGCTTGCCTCGAGACCTGGGGCCCATACTCGGTTGTGAGCTCGGCATGGGCAAGACATAATGTCCTTTGCAGCCTGCACCACCTCCGGCGTCGATGGCATCCGTACCAGGGATGTCTGGGTCAACGGCACCGGGCTGCTCCACTCTACACAAGTCGGAGGTCTTAAGACCAGGGGGGACCGAGGGCTGCCCAGCGCGGGACCAGCCTCCCCCTTGTCCTTATCGCGGCATCGCTGCAAGGCCAGGCCCTTCCCTTGCTTCCTGGAGGGAGAGCAGCACCGCGTGGTCGAAGGGGCCTCGCTACGTACCGACGACCTGGCGGCCGGTGCCGAGTCTGATCTGCTCACTGGCATCGGTGTTAACGCTGACTCCATTAGGAGAGCTCAAAGTTTGAAGTCCCTCTCCTTTTTGGTTCTTGGTTTGAACGACCTACAGATTTTGCAGCGGTCGCTAATATGAGTCTCACCCACGCAGCGAAGACAATCAGTGTGAGGGTCGCTCCTGGGCATAGAGCGGCGACAGGAATCGCACGACTTGAAGCCTGGGGCGCAGGGCATGCCCCGAGCCCAAGCTAACAATGAGAACGTTCCAACTAACGGTACCACTAGGGAAGAAAGGCTGCAGCGGAGCTGGAACGCAAAGTTCCGACCACCTTCACTGGCGGCAAGAAGGAACTGAGGGTGGGGGGAGCCCGTGGCTCCCCTTATAGCGCGATATGCAGGTGCCACTCCAGGGGTGGCCGCAGTGCTCCCCCAGTACGGGTACTGCTAAGGGAAAAACTTCCAGCACCGGTGCACGTGGCGAGCACGCACATCTACTGTGGAATACACAGGAGCAATCTCTCGAAGAACAGCATCTTGTATTCTTCCCTTTACTTTCCCTACCTCTTGAGTCAACTTGTTCTCCCTCTCTGCAGTCTGTCAATCCAACTCCTGAGATAGCCTAGTGATTCCCCTAGAGGGAATGTCAATCAGAGTGGTTGCTGGAAAGAATGACAGGATAGGATGCTCAAAACTCCATCAATGGACTGAGCATGCTTCCTTCACAGTGCTTCTAGCTCCTGCCACCCCAGGAACAACACACCAAGCTAAAGCCTTGAACTCTGATCCTCCATGTGCTAACACTAAGGGTTAGTCTACACTAGACTGTACAGATGTAGCTGAGCTGCTGTAGTGCTGCTTTGCAGACACTCTATGCTGTCAGGAGAGAGCTCTCCCATCGGCATAATTACTCCACCTCACTGAGAGGCAGTAGCTATGTTGGCAGGAGAGTCTCTCTCGCCGACATAGCACTGTCCACACCAGTGCTTAGGTTCGTGTAAGTTCCGTTGCTCAGGGGGGTGGCTTTTCTTAAGTTATACTGAAGTTATACTGAAGTAAGCACAAACCCTAAGATATCACTAGGCCACACAGTTGCAATCACTATGGGGGTGGAGAGAGGTATGTACTCCAAATGCTGTGATATCTTCTTCAATAAGGGTGCAAGATTCATGCCTTTATACTCCTGTTTATCTCCCAGCTTTTCTTATGTAGTTGCATCCTATTACATCACCTTGCTCACCAGAAAAAAAAAACTAATTTTGAAGAAAAATATCACCTTGAAAGCTCTAAAAGGGCCTGTCATTTTAAGAAAGGGTTACATTTTAGGAAAAGATGAACAAATGTAAAGGTGGAAAGCAACTCTCTACATGTGTTTTTTATAGTTTTGCATGTTAAATGACAGTTTTGGATAGCATTCCAGAAGAATCTTAACCTCTTGACACTTGGAGTCAAGAATTTCTAGCCTAAGTACTGTAAGAATTTTTAAAAGATACAGCTTAGTACGCAACAGTCCACAGCCTTTTAGTGATTATGGATGAGTCCTCGTGGTCATTGATCACCAGAAATAAATTGTATTAAAATTAAAATGTGTGAAAAATGAATGTCAAAATCTACAGTACTTTCTTAATTAGCATAATGAGCATTGTAAAATCTAAAGGATGGTTGGATAGAAATAGGCAGTGAGAAAAAAATTCCTTGATTTCTGCATTATTTTCTATCCGCATATTTAGAAGATTTAAGTTTGGAAAGCCCTTTATCTAAATAAAAATTTAGAAAAATAACTAATCCATATTTTTGGGGAGTCAAATAACCTCTGATTGCATCCCATGTTAATTTCAAATTCTAGTACGTGACATCTAATTAGAACACTCATTGGTGTGTACGAGAATTTCCATGACTATACATGCATGTTTGCTTTACAATCACTATTGCAGATAGTCTTCATATGCTCTCAGTCCCCTTCTGGGGTTCACAGATTATACTTGTGGTGGAAGAATCCCCTTCCAAAACTTCATATCAGCTGAAGTAACAGTGAATAAATCATTCCCACTGATATAATATGAAAATTCACCAATCAGGGAGTAATAGGAGTTAGAACAAAAGAAAGCAAGTTCAAAATTTCCTATGGAAGTGAAACACTCTTTTGGTCATGGGCAGAAATTTAACGATGGAAAACATACTTAAACATGCAAAAATCAAATGGTCGAAGACATTGCCCATAATTCATCAGCTCCCAACTCCCTGCAATCCCAGCCCATTTCTCCTTACTATCACTTGGAAACCTTTATACTCAGATAACAAAAATAGTGAAAATGACATTAAATCATTCTAGAAGACACTCTTCCAAATTAAACTGGGAATCAAAATTTGGAGAAGCAACATTTAAACAGGAGACAAATCTTTTACTATGCAAGCAAAGACAGATTTGGTAAATGGCTCAGGGAGCATATCAGAAGTTTGTAAAATTGGAATTCAGATTCATAATATCAAAATGTGAATTATTCCATTTACCTGCACATAACCCCTCATAATAATGACTGTACCTACTGAGTGTAATATTTTATTTTTTACTGTGAAGCGACGTATTTTACAAAAAACAGCATCCTAACACCTCCTGAGTGGAATATAAACTTAGTATAAACAAGCCTCAAACATTTTGGTTTGCAAAGTACCAACATAATGCACACTAGAATTTAAAGGAACATGTAAGTAGTTTAGGACTGAAATTAAGTTTTTGCCTTAAAAATAAAAGGTGGTTACAAAAGCAGACATTCATAGATTTGTTAAGAAATTATTTTATTTTAATTCAGCAAATACAGTTGTAGGCCTGATCCTGCAAACACTTATGCACATGCTTAATTTTAAGCATATGAATAGTTCAATTGACTTCAACAGGACTAATCAAACATGCATAGTCTACTGAGGACTAGAGTGACCACGGCTGATGGCGTTGCACCAGGCATCATATAGTGAAGTTCCCAGATCTGGCTCAAGCCTTTAAATCTATGATTCTCTGGGATGGGTGGATCAGAGCAAGCACCCCTTTGTGTATGGATGGAGAGTTTCAGAGCACAGTGTGGATTTTTTTATGCATCCTGATGATATAGCCAAAGAGCAGGTAACACAACTTTCGAATGAAATGAATGACTGAAGAAAGGTCAAATCTTTACAAGACTGACATTTCACACAAAGTCAAATCATGTTATGCTCAGGATTTGGCTCCGGACAGCGCATATGGAATGTCTCTAGACACTCAAAGTCTGCCTGTAAGAGGGTCCAGGTTTCTGACCAATACAGAAGTACAGGTAGTATATCGGTTTGACAGATCCTAAACTTTGTCAGAAAGACGTTTGTGTCTGTAAGCAAGACAAGGACTTCATGCAGGAGGAGGCAAGATCTATTCATTGAAGAACATCCAATTTGCTACAACCATTTGAACTCTGCTTGCAGTCTAGGTAGATGAACTAGTCAATGCTCTTCATAGTCCTTGATCCCACTTTACCAGAGATTCTTGTGGCCCAGCTGCAAGGTTCTGTACCCTGGTCTTCTGCCATGAGATGTTCAACTCTATCACACAAGTGGCATCTTGGGAGACCTTGGAGGGTGACTTCTCCACAAGCAGGAAAGCATTGTCGACATAGTCTTGATTGGTGAATACTTCTTGACCAACCTTGATTCAGATATGCAACTCAGCAAGGCCTAATATCCAGGCGATAACTTGACAGAATAGCACCGGGACAAGAATGCATCTCTGCCACACACCAGTGGTTGCTTAAAAGTGCCTCGGAACCAGTGGACATTGGTCTGCATCAACTGTTTCTAAGTGTGGGCATCAGGCAAAATACCAGCAGAATGGAAAGATGACATCATAGCGTCCCCATACAAGGGCAAAGGATCTCACACTGAGTGTGGCAACTACAGGCGGACATCATTATTGTCAGTCCCTGAAAAGGTCTTTGCTCACATTTTGCTTGGTAGGATGCAGCCTCTCCTCAAGAGACACTGTCATCCTCAGCAACCAGGTTTCACTGTTAGGCAGTTGACAATAGATGCTGTCCTTACCCTCCTGCTTCTGGCTGAGGTACACCTAGAATTTAACTGCCTGCTTCGTGTGGTCCATATCATCATCATCATCATCATCAAAGCTGCTTTACATTTGGTCCACAGGTCAGCACTTTGGCTCACACTGAACAGAATGGAGTTCCAGATGTTCTGCTAAATGAGGTGCACAATCTTCACTCTGCTATTGGTGCAAGACAGCATGTTGGTTCACAGCTTTTGCCACGTTTTTACCCCATGAGAATACCGACATACTTAAAGTTAAGCACATTTACAGAACCAAGGCCATAAAGTTTTGGAGGCTTTTTTGGTGGGGGTGGGAGGAAAAAGAGGGAGGTGAGAGATGGACTTTGGAAGGAAGATATATTTGAATGTTCTCAGGTGATTTGGGGAACTCAAATACACTATAAATGTACTACTGCACAGTATCTGAAAGGGTATCTGATTGGTCTTATCTCACTGTATACAATTGCTGCAAAATAGCTAAAAATACATTGGATTTAAAAAAAATCTTTCATATCTAGTAATTTAAGGTTGTATTATTAACAATTTCTTCATTAAAAATTGTGCATATTATTGCTGCAATCTCGAAAAGGTCCCTTTTAAAAATAATGTCAACTTAGTATAAAAGTAGAATTGAGTGGAAATTGTTAAGCTTTGACCCCAGGTTCTACAATGGGATACGCTAGCACAGACCCCTGCAATGTCCCACTGAGATCATTGGGACTCCACAGGAGTGCAAGGATCCATACTGCTAGACCACACTGCAGGATTGGGGCCTTTGTTTCTACCTTCACAATAAAACAAAGTCAATTTCAAAGCAGAAAGGGGTGGCGGAAGGATTAAAAGAAGTGATCACAAACACTCTAATGAAAAGATGACATAAAGGAGATAGGATAGTTATCTTCAGTTATGTAGCTGCGAAGTGATAGATGCAGTTTTAAACCCCTGCAGGGTTTCTGAAGGAGTACACTGATGTTTTGTGGATTGCTGCAAAAGGATCAAGATTTAAATTTTCTGCAATTTGTGAGTTCAACACACTTATGCTACAGTACCATAAATTTAATCTAAATGTATCACAGTACATACAAAACAACTATATTAAACAAATGTTGTATGAAGGTTGTAAAGTCAAGCACTCAAAAGCTAGAAAATGCCAGAATTAAGGTAGCCGTGCAACCTTAACTTTGCTTCCTTGTGCATATGCATGAGTATACAGTCTCTGATTACATTATCATATATGACTTTTCCATAGGATTCCTGCTTCATTCAAATGTACAAGATGGACAGTTATCAGTAGATATGGCAGCTATTCAATATTTCCTTTTATCCCCAGGATTGAATGTGTGGCCCCTTACCTCATTTACTGCACAACATTCAAACCCTGCACCGTATAAAAAAAATTATTAATGTCCTCTTGGATTTTACTATGGCAAGACCATAGTATCTGAGTAACTTATTAACATTAATGAACTTTTCTGAGAACACCTCTGTGAGACAGGGAGGTATTATCATTCCCATTTTGCAGATGGGGACTGAGGCAAAGAAATATTAAGGCCAAAATTTGCAATAATTTTTTTTAAAATGTCCATTAATTTTGCATCAGATTTTTCAGAGGTTCTGAGAATCCACAGATCCGCTTCAAAAGGAGCTGGAGGGTCGGCACTTCTGAAAAGCAGACCTAGGTGTTTCACATTAGGCACCCAGAAAACGAAGTCTAAACCATTAGTGTCCATCTGTGACAATTTAAGTGACTTGCCCAGTATCATATCAGATGTCTCTGGCAGAGCCAGGGATATATTATAGTTATATTCGGTTAGAGTCAAATGACAATCAATCAGAGAATCCCTGTTCCTTTCTTCCAGAGATCCTGTGGAAAAAATTGTATGTGATCAGGTACATGAAGGCAGTATAACATATGTCCATATAGGCAACCTTAATTCTGGCACTTCTACTTTTGAGTGCTTGACTTTGCAACCTTCATGTTCTTTTAACATATATCTTTGTATGTAAGGTTAAAAAACTTAAGAAAAGAAAAATGAAAAACAAAACAAAACACAACTTTTAATGTAAAGCTATATAGCACAGATCTCTACCACTTGAGCTGCATTAGTAAGGGCCTTTCCACATTCCATTATGACAAAAGGTATTTTGATGGGGGAAAACAGCAGGAGCAGGGATTAATTTTGTCTATGTCCTACCTGGAGGTTCATGTCACTTTGGCTGCATCAGAACAATACAGAACACTCAATGGAGCCCGGGCGCATATACAGTGCAGCTGTCATGTCCAGAAAATTCAGAAGCAAATGCTGAACAAGCATTACTGCACATGTGCAAAGAGCAGACTTTTGTGGTTTATAATAAATCTGGGTGTACTTTGACAGGGAAAGCAGGAGGCATCTCTCTGATGCTAGGACTGTCCCCCTACCAAATTTCAAAGTTCCTGTTCAAAACCATGGAATTCCTAAAACTATTAAATAAATGACTGGAATTTTTTTTTTAGCAGGGGTTAAACTACTTATTTCTCATTATCTTTCTTCTTGAAAATAGCTGAGCCCTTTTCACTCAAACATTCAAAAAATTCAACCTGAGGCAGAGATCAGGCATGGAAAATTTCATTTACAATGATTAAAAATTGGCACAGTTGTGAGCAATTTTGAGCAGAGGGTTATAATCCACAGTTATAGAATAATAAAGTTACCTGGACATTATTCTTTATTATTCTGGAGTAGGGGTATGTCTACACTGCAATTAACCTCCCGCGGCTAGCCCATGTCAACTGACTTGGGCTCACAGGGCTAAGGCTATGGGGCTGTAAAACTGTGGTATAGACCAGTGGTTCTCAAACTAGGGCCGCCACTTGTTCAGGGAAAGCCCCTGTTGGTCCGGGCCGGTTTGTTTACCTGCCGCGTCTGCAGGTTTGGCTCATCGCGGCTCCCACTGGCCACGGTTCACCGCTCCAGGCCAATGGGGGCTGCAGGAAGCGGTGCGGGCCGAGGGACTTGCTGGGCGCCCTTCCTGCAACCCCCATTGGCGTGGAGCGGCGAACCACGGCCAGTGGGAGCCGTGATCGGCCGAACCTGCAGACGCAGCAGGTAAACAAACCGGCCCGGCCCGCCAGGGGCTTTCCCTGAACAAGCAGCGGCCCTAGTTTGAGAACCACTGGTATAGACATTCAGGCTCAGGCTAGAGCCAAAGCTCTAGGACCCCCATGGGGTCAGCCTGAGCCTGACTGTCTACACTGCAACCTCACAGCCCTGCAGCCAAGCCCAGCAAGTCCAAGTCAGCTGACATGGGCCAATCACAGATGTTTAATTGCATTGTAAACATACCCTAAGTGTCTTATCCTGTAAACATATAAGTATGTGTGTAACTTTCTTCAACTGACTACCCACACTGACTTCTACACAACTTGAGTACATTTATTCATCTTCTTAAGTGTTTGCAGGATCAAGCCTCATTCCTTGAATGAGCATTTGTATCTCAGTACACAGCATTGGTGGATATCATACAGCACCAAAGCATTCTGAGATTTCAGTGCCAAATTTTGGAAACCTCTGTAATAACAAGAAATGAAGAAAATCAGGATTTGGCAAAATGTCAATCTTAGACTTACAGAGTTTTTTAAACAATCATCGTCCACATCAAAGTTTGATGTATCAGTTGGACTGCTGACTTCAGGGATGTAAGGTGCTTCACAGTTCCGAATGTTATCCCATTCAATCCCAACAAAAAATGGGTGGTTCTTAAAGTCTTCTATCCCATTTTGCCCAAGTCGATGCTCCCTGCTGCAAATGAGCCTTCGAATGAGGTCCTTGGCATTTTCAGACACATCTGTCACTTGTGCAGGAAACTGAAACCTCTCCTTAAAGAATAAAACAGGAGGAAGTAGTTTATTACCAAGAAAATGTCACAAAAGTCAGGTTCCTTCGTGGTTGTTTCTGTACAGAAAAATAGGACTTTGCAAATACTCAGGCTCTCACTGTTAAATGAATGCAATAAGTTTCTAGGAAAAAATCTTCCCCAGATGATAAAAAGTATTGAAAATGCTATAACTGTCTCCTCCTTTTTTATTTATTCAAATGTATGTACATTTTTGGAATCTATCTTTGCCTCCAGGTGGAAGAATGTTTAAGGATCTCTTTCCTAAACCAACAAATGGATCCACCAGCAAAAAATAGAACAAGAAGAGTGATGTAGCATAGCCAAGACGTACTCCTTGGAGTGAACTAATAGCTGCCATTGTATATCCAGGTTTTTAGTTTTGGACTATCTTATTCAAAAGTAAAGCCAGTTGCAATTCATAACCACAAAATGTACTGTATGGAAACCAAATTTATATTTAAGATTTATGAACATGAATTCAATCATTACATAAGAACTTTCTTTCTAAATAGACCTTTAAGCTAACCCTTTTTATTCACTAAAATTAGTTCACAAAAGATAGAAAAAACACTAACTTTGTGGTTCATTATTTTCCCGTAGGTCTCCACCAAGGACTCTGCATAAAAGGGCGTTTCTCCATAAAGCATTTCATACATGCAAACACCTAGGGACCACCAGTCACACTCAGGTCCATATTTCCCTTTTCCATCTTCCATGGCCTGCAGGATTTCTGGAGAGATGTAGTCTGGAGTTCCAACTGCCACCGAAGACTGGACCTGGGGAGTTAGCATTTCCATGAGTAAAAATGACATACACAGTTACAGACTGTAGTGCCGGTGGGTGTGGGGGTTGAAAGAGGTTGAGGGGTTTCATGTGCATATGTAAGATTGTAATTCAAATTACAAAACAGTGAACTCTAATACAAAAACGGGGTTTCTAAATAACAATTGATGAGAAAAAAAATGTTCTCATGTGTCTGAGCCACTTCAGTGTTTCAAACTTGAAGTTCTGAAAAAATTTATTGGGTATTCTAATAATTTATTTTTGCTGTGAACTGTGATGAATGCCAAAAAGAAGGCAGCTTCTGAGTTTTCAGTTATTATAAATTAATTAGCTCCCTGATAATCACACATATTAATTCAGATGCTTTATAACACTCCAGGGTATGATTATCACACTGGAACTACGTTCTTGTCACATACACCACACATTGTATAAGTTTAAACACAGCACTGCAATAGGATGAAGTGATATCAATGGTACCTGATTCTGCTTCTGCCAAAGCCCTGATCTGAGTGAAATCAATGAGTGCTTTGCCTGAGTAATGATTATGGCATGAGGCTCAAAATTGGGTGTCTTACACCTTTCCTATGGATACGTATTAATTTTGATTATATGCCCTCCCTTTATTAACTTTTATTAATGAAATGAAATAAAAATGCATTTAACAAAGACAGAATTCAAATAAAGAATGCAGATATATTTTGAACTGAAACCAAATACAACCATATTATAAAACTGTACAAATGCTATCTCTGTCATTAATAAAAATGTGCACTTAAAAATGACATTTCCTTCACAAATAGGACGTCTTCGTGAGCAGAAATTTCACTGGCAAGTAGAGGACAGAAAGGAAGGGGGGTTGGAAGTGCAGGCCATGGTAAAGGACTTGGCCTTTGAGGGATATCATAGCTGTATCATTCTTTCTAATTTACCGTTCCATCTTCCATCAGTTTCAGACAAGAACCAAAATCTGCTAACCGAATATGTCCATTCATATCCATCAAGATGTTGTCTGGTTTAATGTCCCTGCAAATGAAATGTATTCAATAATTAGCATGAAGAAAAAACACAATGCATCCTCCTGGGCAACAACTTTGAAATTTGTTTTTTCATTCACTGGCAGTGCAAGATCATTAGATTGAGTGGCTCACTACATGACTTTATTCATAAAACACTTGCCATCCAGTAGGTACATACAGTTGGAAATTTTTCAATGAAGCATCCGGGGATTTAACCATGTAACTCCCATTAATCATAATAATAATAATCATGTGGTCAAACTCCACACATCACAGACAATTTACACCTGTATACATATAAAGAAAACAATGGAAGAGTGTCTGCAGAGTCCTATGCATTCCTTAGACTGTGCTATTATCTAATACTTCACTAAAATAACAGAGACGTCTAAATCATTTCAAGATGTCTAGAGGAATATTCTTAAGTGACATACTTGCACTAGGCTAAGGGCTGGTCTACACTGGGGGGGGGGGGGATCTCCCATATGTAACTGTGGAACAAAGTTACAACAAATAATTTATGCAGTATTAAGATTTAGCATCTTTCATCTATACATTTCTGTATTTCTATTATGTGTTCTCATGTCCAACACAAACACATTCTTTTATTCTAGTTCCCATTCTCCTCTCATAAGGCTAGCTGGACATTCAATCTGGAATTAGTGACAATACCATTTCATAGACCTGCTGATAGGTCTCTGTGGAGAATCCTGCACTAGCTTACAGCCTGCCCATGAAACTGATGGTGATACCCTTGTGAGTAGTCAACTTGCGTTGATTTGAGAACCCACATTTATTTTCTGAGTCACACACATTTAAAAAAAATATCTATTTAAACAAACCAACAAACCATGAGCACACAGAGCTACAGCTCTCCTGTAAGAAAGCAATGGTTTTATAAACCCCACATGAACTCTGAGAATTGTCATTCAACATTTCTTACGCATAAACAATTAATTCAAGAAACCTGATGATCTGCCAGCCTAGTGGTGGGACACCTGTATTATATTCTGTAAGCAACGGGATTGTAGGAACAGATGTCTTGTCTAACCTGACAGCCAGAACTTGGAGGCCATAAATAAATAGGGCCATGTTCATCATTGGCAGCTTCATGGAGCTGAACCCACATGTGTCAGTTGTCTTTGATTCTGTGTGTGCTGCTTCTGTGACACCATCGGCCACAATAATTTAATAGGAGTCAATTTAAGTCAGTGGCGATTTGGGCTCTCTGGACCTGAAGTGTAAATCCATTGCTTGAAGTGGCATTATGACAGATTTACCCCAGCGTAATTAGGAACAGATTTTGGACCTTCACTTCCAAAGGTCCTAGTTTCAAAAGTACTCCCATGAAATACCTCTAAGAGGGAAGAGTGGATAAAGTGAGGGCCATAAAAGAATATCTAACTTAAGGAATTTACAACATAAACTCTGTTAAAGTACTGCTATACGTCAAGCTTTTTCTTGTCACATCTCTGCTTCATCATCCACACACTGAAGTAGAGATGGCAGCCTTGTAGAAGAAGCAGGAGGCAGAGTCTATACAAACCAGAGGCCAAGAACTGTGGATGAAACCGTGGGGGAATCCCAATCAGATAAATGGAATGGTTGACCCTTCATGAGCCGCTCAGCCTCCTCTTCCCTTGCAGCAGGGCCAACCACTGTGCTGTGCTACCGTTACCTACTCCACCACAGAGATTCCTACATAATCCATGGGAATCTAATGCTGTGAAAGAGGAATTAAGACTGGAGTGACCAGATGAATACAATTTTTAAAATTCTTTCAATTTCCTATTAGTCACATGGGTAAGAATGATTATTTTTCATAAATATAGGTAGCCAGATCCACAACTTCAGTAAATCAGTGTAGCTCCATTGACTTCAATGGAGCTAGGCCAGCTGAGAATCTGGCCCAACATCTTTTGCGTGCTTGACTTTGCAACCTTAATGTTCTTTTAACACTAATTTTGTCTCAAATCTATAAAAGCCATGGGATTTAGAATTATGATTGACATCTAATAGATTTCAGGAGTCATTCTTTACAATTTAGTGGGTTTTTTTGTGGGGGGATTTGTTTTAGATTTTTTGGGGTGGAGGAGGAAGAGTTGTGGTTTTTTTTTTTAAATGTTAAATTTAAAAAAAATCTTTGATGAAAGCAAGTTCAAAATATTTTTAAAATATGTATTAATTTTACAGCTCACTTTGTACTTAAGATACATTTTTAAGAGTAATGACAACTGTAATTAGCTGTTTGTGAATTTTTTATTTCACCAAATTAGGTCTTGGTTCCACAAAGGGATCTGCATAGGTAGTGCCCTGCACGGATATAAAATTTGAGTCTGCATCCATCCACGATCTGCAAACATGGTTCCTCCTCAGCCTCCTCTTCCCTTGCAGCAGGGCCAACCACTGTGCTGTGCTACCGTTACCTAGATGGATATCTGCAGATATCCATGGATATAAAGCTGATATCCACAGATTTGCAGGGCTCTATGCATAGGCAAAAGGTCCATCCTTGCACATACCTTTATAGGATTGTGCTCTTACTGTATAAATCTGACTGTTTTTTATCTGAGGCTTTCATGTCTCCCAGGTAACGGAGTACACAGGGAATCTGAAATTCATAGATTAACTGGGCCCAAATTCTGCATCTGACTGTGTGAGGGCACACCCATATGGAGACAAGGGCAGAACTAAGGCTAGGTCTACACTACCCACCTGAATCGGTGGGTAGAAATCGACCTCTCGGGAATCGAATTATCGCGTCCCATCGGGACGCGACAATCAATCCCCGAATCGACGCTCTTACTCCACCAGCGGAGGTGGGAGTAAGCGCCGTCGACGGGAAGCCGCGGAGGTCGATTTTGCCACCGTCCTTACAGCGGGGTAAGTCGGCTGCGATACGTCGAATTCAGCTACGCTATTCGCGTAGCTGAATTTACGTATCTTAAATCGACCCTCCCCTGTAGTGAGGACGTAGCCTTAAGACCTTGGTGGTTAGGCATCTGGATGAGGTCCAAATGTAATATATCTTTTAATTATACAAATAATACAATAAATAATAATTAAAACACAATTATAGCATTTTCCCATTAAACTACATTTTTAAAAAATATGGCAAAGGTATTAAATTCTCATCCTACCCTGACCCAAAATATTCAGAAGGAAGACCGTGAATTGACTGCCACAGCAATGTTAGCTTTCAAAGATTTGAGCTATTTATGAGGCATAAGAACAAAACAGGAAAAACTAGCAACTGAAAATACTAACATTATTTCATTCTTATAATAACCTATAAATGACTAACATAAATTAGAGACAAGGTGGCTGAGGTAATACAGTATCTTTTATTGGACCAACTTCTGTTGGTGAGAGAGATTGAGAGAGAGAGAGATGAATTTTCGAGCTCACACAGAGCTCTTAGACTTCTTAGCTCTGCTTAGTTTAAGAAGAGCTCTGTGTGAGCTCGAACGTTCGTCTCTCTCTCACCATCAGAAGTTGGTCCAATAAAAGATATCACCACGCCTAACTTGTCTCTCTAAAATCCTGGGACCAATATGGTTACAACAACACTGCATACAACCTATAAATGACTAATCAACTTTTTTTTCCAAATGTTGGCAAACAGTAAACTGAAATATTCACAGGCTGAGACCTTAGTAGGCTTTGCTATACCTCAGAAAAAATTTGTTAAGACTAATTTACAAACCTTTGTAATTAAAGGTTTATAATGGAAAAGATGATAGACTCTATAGCACTAAGGGTAAAATGTCAAGCTTTACACACTTTTTATACTTTGCATTAACTTGTTATAGTTTGTAACAATAAAAATAGGGTTAATTTAGTGTTTTGAGGGGGAATTTATTTTGTCAAAAACTGGTTGCTCTTTAGGTTCTGATACTGCACCATTAAAGTCAATGGGAGCTTTTACCACTTCAACAAGTGTAGTATCAAGCAGAAAAGAAATTAATGCAGATTTATACAGATGCTAACATTTATTTGTTATAGTTGAAATTGACAAAAGTACATGTTTTCAGTTTTCTGTCTACTTTCACAGATCGAAGCTCCTGACTCAATCATGACGCACATTAACAGAAACACTTATGTAAAAAGCAGAACTGTCCCTACAGCTAATTCCTCCTGACTGTCCCTTTCAAGGCAGTCTTTTGATTTTCACAAAGTTCTCAGATAAAATTATTACTGGACATTGGTCAACTTAATCCCCTACTTCACAAAAGTATTTGGAAGGGAACTCTTACTACTGAAGCCGTGAAGTTTCCTCATTGTTTATGCCTACGCCCTTCCTAGTCATGGAGACTGGTGTAAGTGCAAAGAATGGAGCAAACAGCATGCAAAAAGACAAGAAGAGGGTGGACATTCAAGGGGATCCCAGATCTCAGACAGCTATGCAAACCTGCATCTTTCTTGGCCACTGCCCTTCAAGCTGTGCTTTGACTCAGAAAAAGGATACCACAGAGTACAGGGTGGAGGGTTAATGTTGCCTTAAATATACTCAGTCCAGTATATTGCAAGTATAGGTTAATACTGCATTATCATGGGTACTGCTGCCAGTTAGTGTGGGTAGCTAACTTTTTAAAGATGATCAGAATAATTAGTAAAGCTACAAAATAGGCATTTCTGACTCAAATCAAATTTAAAAACCAAACAGTCTTAGATCAATAGTATTTAGATCTTACTGTTTTTGGTATTCATATGCAGAAAAACACTGACTTGGAAGTAAAATACACAAAGAAAAAAGCTCTATTTTCACAACATTTAGAAACAGCCACTGGTTTGGAGTGACTCACTCTAACAAAGGGCTCCTGCCACTCTAGAAACACAGCAAATACATTTATCAAGAGGCAAGCAAGTATTATTAGAGGAATTACATTTTTCAAATCTCAGAAGAGGGAACAACAAATAATGGCTAATTCTTAAAATGTAAACTGAAATAAGCATTTGAGCATCCAATAAGCAACATTCTTCAGTCCCAGTTTTGCTGAATGTTGC